AAAAAAAATTACAGCTAAGAAAAAAGAAACAGCCATGGAGAGAATAAATGATTGGAATGAATGAATTCGAAATGTCCTCTTTATCCTGGTGGCTTTAGAATAAAATTGGCGGTATGTAACCAATTAAAAAGTTCAATCAGTTTTAAGGACGATTCAGTGGTTTTTATCGTCATATTCATTCCACTTTTGTGGTACACCTGTACGTGCAAGGTTGCTGCTAAAGTTGCTGTACTCTGCAGACAACTACTCTTCGTGCCTTTACAACTAAAAGATGGATAAAACGTGAAATTTACCTGACTAAAGTTAACAGGAAGTTAAAGTCTAAATGCTGAACAATTTCATCTGCGCTTGGCACAACCAAAGTGTATGAGTCAATGGCCTGACTGAGTACGCTCAAACATTCCACATCATTTCCAACGGACTGGTCTGACGAAAGGCGCTCATTGAGCGAATGGATAAGGCTGAGGAGCTGACTGCAACACTGAGGACTATCTAATGGACTACAGAATCAAAATGAAAAGTACATGTATTAAACTATCAGGACTTAAACACACTTCTGAGATAGAGACTGTACAATGTGGGAGAAGGATATCTTTACTTCAAAAGTGGTCAGGGGTATGGATTCCCTAGTTCGTATGTTGTATTAGTATGATGTATTATTTCCAGGCTATAAGGTTTTTGACACTTTGATAAAGTTCTCACTCACACTCACATTCGTCTCTTGACCTCTTGCAGCTACATGTGCATATACAACACTTTTCTACAAGCATCCGTACAGAAACATACATTGTACCATGATGGAATCAGAGTTTTTTTTGCGAGGTCAAACTAAGTCTAGAAGATTAACTACCAAGTTAAATTTAAGAACTATAGCTAACAAATTTATCACACTCTGGTAAAAATCTAGTAAGGACATTTTGTAAGAATTAATCAGAACAGAGAAGTGGGGCTCTCTTAAGGATGCAAGATGTTGTAACAGCAGCAATCACTTATTGTAGCAAGCTCAAAGTTGATATCAAAAGACAATACATTCACATGTTTTAACTCTGACTGTCAACACAGCAGAATACTTTCTTTGGCACTTAACTAGTTTATCATGATAGATGTGCATGTACAATGTAATCCACCAATCCATTTCAGGATGAGATAAAATTTTAGTTGCCATTCATGTATATGTATACACAGTAGACTATACTATAGGTTGGAACTCACCTTATACAAGGAATACACACAAGAACACTCCATATTAAGCAAAGCCTGTTCTTGTCCAACAAAGTGCCATCATCTAATGTCAGATTATCAAGAAAAGCCCTTAAAATCTTTCCACCTTGTTTAGTGCCACATTTGGGAAAGAAAATCAAGCCTTTTAAGCTACCCAAATCAAGGCCACCTTCACTCCTGGAAGCATTTTGAACAACAACCTCTGTCAGGATAAGGAACACTTCTTCAAGTTTAGATGAGCCCTTTAAAAGCTCTTCTTGGCAGCAATTCAACAAGAAAGGCAACACATCTGCCTGGAAGTTCTCCCACTTCAAAACATGTCTACAAAATGTAAATAACTGTTCACGACTGTTTACTGAATTGAAGACCTTCAATGTCAGTTGTTTACAGAATCGATCTCTTGAAAGTTCAGTAAATGATGCCTGTAGAAGTGTTGATGCAAGTTCAAGCAATGGAGAGGCAATGACGTCTGATATGAAATCATTAACCATCATTGTCTGGACCACCTGAAAAATATAATATAACATTTAACAAATTTAGTTGTAGACGCAGAGTTCGCTGTTATAAAGGAACTGGTAAACAGTCACTGACACAAATGACTACTCCCAAAGGAAGTCAAACTCATGCCATTCCACTCATATTGGACATACAGGTCTTTAACTGACAATTTGTAGTAAACTAATGGGAGCTGCAAACATCCTAGCAATATGTGGAATGTTTGCTACATTTGACCCCTGTGAAGTGGTATACATCTAAATGTAGCTCCCATGAATTTCCTACACAGTGTATCTCTCATTGGTAAAGCACTGACCCAATGTAGAAATAAGCTACAGCAGGGCACAGATTCTGCATTTATGGGGAGAACTCTGAGAAAGAATTAGGTTTCTAAATTTCAAATCAAAAACAAATTTAAACTACAAGTAACAAAATAGAATATAAACATGTACTGTTATGCTCTCTGCATAGAAATACCCACTCACATTAAATAACTGTACTGGGTCAGATACCAAGCTACCAGACTTCCAAGAAACCCAAACATTAGTCAACCTTAGAAGAAAACCTATTTGACTCTTCAGGGACTCTTCTTGTTCACTACCATACTGTTTCTCTTTCCAAACACTCCATAACCTTTGCAGCTCTTGAACCAGAGACTTCTCAACCACTTGACAATGTTCCTTCACAGTGTATCTTGCCATTCTCTCAATCATGTGAACGAGTGACTGGAAAACCTTTCCAGATAAAAAAGATGGACAAGTCTCAGGCAACGTATCTTCTGAATGTTTTATAGTCTATCCCCAACCCCACAATGTTATTAGAATCCCAGGATTAAGTTTTCCTCTGCCCGAACGGCCATAAAGAGAGTATATTACTGTAATGTACATGATTTGCTGCCGCCACGTAACGAGTCCACTTACTGCACACGAACC